CTGTGGGCCAGAGAGAGGGAAGTCAGAAGCTAGGACCCTTGGCCCCTTCTCTCCTGAACTTCTGCTTCCCTTACTGCCCCATGTTATGAGATGAGGGATGCCCAGCCCCGGTGCCAAAAAGGAAGGGCGAAGAACCAGAGGGCAAGGAGGCAGCTGTGGTTGTATGGGGTTGGGAAGGTGGAAAGACAGAAGCACAGATGAGGTTCCGAGCTGGCCACAGGAGATGAGCTGGAACGGGAGACGGAGAGGGTCAGGTGAGGCCAGAGCTGGACGGATGGTTGGCAGACAGGTGCATGTGTGGGATCTTGGGTGGACGAGACCAGGAGTGCAGGATGAAGATGCATGACGAACAGACTCAGACGAGGAACACAGTGGATGGGCGGACACTCTCAAGCAGACAAACGGGCAGACGTGCTCACAGTGGGTAGGTACATGGATGAATGGGCCGGTGGGATCAGAGGTCGGAGATGGGTGGGCAGGCAGAGAGGCTCTCGGGATGCTGGGATGCCCACTTACAGCCTTCCATGTACAGGTGTGGTTGTTCCCCTGCCGGCAGCAGCGCTGGAACTCCCCCTCCAGGCGGGTCAGAGCCTGCAGCTGCCTTTGGATGGGGTCAGTAGCTGGGAGGTTGCGCGGCACAGAGCGGAAGCGTCTTAGGTGGCAGATGTTCTTGATATTGTCCAGTGTGGGAAGCCCCGGGGGAAAAGGCAGCTCGGGGCCCGAGGAAATACCAGGCTGGCGGCTGGGGCAGGCCCGGAGCTGGTAGTGTGGCCGGGGAGCTTCCTCCTGGAAGCAGGAGAATCGAGCCTCCCCCTGCTGTTTGCAGCACCAGTGGGCTCGGGTCTTGACCGAGAACTCGGCCTCACAGAACCGGGTCATTGCGTCCTCCCACTAGAGCGAGAGGGGTGGATCAGCCCAGCAGCCCACTGTCCACATTCCTGTCTTCCTCCAGAGAAGGACCCCGGGCAGGCAGACAGGGAAGAGGCAGAGGCCGTGCTCTGCTCCTCTAGCACACCGAGGAGGCTCACGGTCAGGCCAGTCAAAGGGACCTGAGGTTCCTACACCCCAGGCTTAGGCCTCTAGTCCTTGAAACACACGTATACTGTCTAGAGGGTTAAAGAACACCTGCAAAGTCAAGAGCCCAACCCTTACCACGAGTTTTGCACAGTCCAAGCGGTTTGTGTGGCTGTGACAGCGGCAGCAGCGGGAATATCCAGTCTCCAGGAGATTGAGGGTCTCACCCTGGCGACTAAGGTGGGAGAAGCCAGTCTGGGGCAGGTTCCAAGGGCCGTACACCACATGCTGACGATTAGGAAGGCAGATCTGGTCCAGGTTGTCTGGAGAAGGCCTTCCGGGGGGAAAGCCATCCAGCCGGTGGCCCCAGCCCCCGCGGGATCGGCCCTGTTGGCAGTGCAGGGCTGGATTCCAGGACTCAGGCTCTGGGGGCTTGTGATTCATGAAGGCGGCTGACTTGTCTAGAAAGTGGAAAACAGAGTGGAAGGGGAAACATGTGGAGGAATAGAGAAAGGCTGGATTGAGTCAGAAGGTTTGAGAGAACTTGGGGTTGAGGAGAAAGAGTTGGGGGGATACAGGGGAAAAGAGGAAGAAATGAATTTGTGGCTCTTACCTTCAGAATGACTGACTGAAAGGCAAAGAGAACTAAGTCATAAAAGGTGTCACCCTTACAGCGCCCCCCAGCCCCTAGTCCGGCCTGCTCCCTGTGCTGCTGCCCCAGGCTCAGGACCCCTGCTTCCCCCAGCGCCCTCCAGCAGCTGAGCACTAAAGCAGGAGGATGGACAGACCGACGCTGTCACTCGCTCGCTCTCTGCTTAGACTGGAAGGTCACGTCTTCTTGATATAGGAAAGGTGGGTGCATGAACAGAAAGCATGTTGGGAGGGGCCTCTCTAGAAGACGGGGACCTGGCCAGTTCCCATTCATAAGAAGGAACTCAGTAGAGAAGCAAGCGAAAATAAATGCTACTTTTATGTCATTTAACCTCATAAGTTTATAAAATAGGTATTATTTCCCCAATCTTACAATGAAGACACTAAGGCTTGGAGAGGTAGCTCACCCCAGGCAACGACACAGCTAGTAAGTGGCAGAGCCCCAAAGGCCGTGCTTGTCAGGCCGTCAGCCAAGGGCAGGCAGGAGGGTAAACAGGGGAAGGAGGCTCTTACCTTCCTTCTGCTCCGTAGGGAGCTGGGGAGGGGGCAGCTCTTCTTGGAGGGGGATGGCTTCCTGAGGAAGAGGGGGATCCCCTGCAGGATAGGGTGAGGGCACAAAGAAGCAAGGATTAGACTGACGTCAGCAAGATGTCGTGGGCTGGAGGCAAGGAAACAGGCAAGCACTCACCTTTCTTTCCCACAGGGAGTGGAGGGGGCCGCTCCTCCTCCTGGATAGGGATGGCTTCCTGAGAGCGAGAGGGCTGCACTACAGAAAGGGGAGTGTGTGAGTCGCCCCCCCTTCCTCCCCTTCCCACCACAGATCAGGAAGTAAGCCAGCCAGAAGACCGGACGTGCAGCTGAGACACGTGCATGGTGCACTTACCTTCACTCTGCCCCTCAAAGTGAGGGCTATGCTGAGAGGTGTCAGGGTGATCCTGGGGGAGGGCTTGGGACAGGGGTGGGGAAGGGGGTGCAGCATAGCCAACTAGAGGCAAGAAGGGAGATGGTCAGAGCCTTCATTTCCTCCTGGACCCCCAGTCCCATGCCACTGTCCCGAACTCTTTACCTTCTTGGAGGTGGTGGGTGAGGTGCTCTGGCCCCAGCTCCTTCTGCCCTGGAGCCTTAAAGCCTGGAATAGGGTGAGTCAGGGGGCATTTTGAGGGGCCCTTTCCTGGCCCTGAGAATGGGAGGGGGAGGAGGTGGAGGTCAAGAGCTTAAAAAGATGACCAAGACACTAGAAGCTTCTCTGTATTGTTCCTGCCCCACTTCCCCTAAGCCACCGGCAACACACCTAGTCGTGACTGAGCAGGTTCTGAGAAACCCTGTGATAATCCTACAGCCTCACCTTTACCAGGCACGAAGCCTTGGGTCTCCCAAGTCCAGGCCTAAAGGGAATGTGACACATGGGGCTGGGGAGGAAGGCCTTAATCTCCTATCAGCATCTTTCCCTCAGGGCTTCTGGGCTCTCCCCCGAGTCTGGACCTTGAATTGGCTGGAGTTTCACCTGCCCATCTCTTCCACCCTCCCACCTACTCCAGGTCCTTTACACATCTTTGGACTTTCTGATAAGGAGCCCACCCAGAAGCTGAAGTGCTTCCCCTCCAGCTAGTCTCAATTTAGGACCTGGGGAACCCGGATGGTTCAAGACTCCTGAAGCAAATAACCCCACAGCCACAGGGAAAGGAATGGCTTGTTGCTGATCTGTAGTCACAAAAGACTACGACCTGGGAGGAACGAGATGGGGCCTTGCAGAGATAGACTAGATCTATGACGCTCTCTCAGGTTTCCCTCAGTAACGTCCTGTTTGGTATCCAAACAGGTAACGTGTGTGCGAGCGAGAGTGGCCATGCCGGGCCCCCTGTGGATGGCTGAGACCCTCCCATCTCCTCTCCTAACCAGCCAGGGGGCCGGTCAGGGCTCCCTGGGTCAGCAGACTGGTTTTGAGCAGCCTGGCAGCCCCTTCTTCCTCTCTCCTCTGCCAAACAGGCCCCACATATATATCCTCCTCAGACAGAAGCCCACTCTGTAAATCCACCCATCTCCTCAGGAGTTGTCCATTTGACTCCAATTATGTGCTTCTAGGCAGCGAACTCTAGGAGCCCCTTTCTTTCTGTGCCCCTGCTCCCCCGCCCTGGTTAAAGGCCCCAGTGCCCAGGCCTACTGAGGGCCTGCTCAGAAATGGGCAGCCAAGCGGGTATCTTCCTGCTGGTGAGGAGCCAGCCAGGATGGCTAGCCCCCGGCCCCCGGCCCCCGGCCCATGCTGGCCAGGACCCCTTCCCCAGTGCTGGCTCCAACCCCAGCTCACCTTCCTCAGAGGCTACAGAAGCAACAGCCAAACAGGCCAAGACCAAGGCTGCTCTGGACCTGGTCCCCATCCTGGGGCAAGGACTGGTTGGCGGCCACCCAGGTAGGTCCTCAAAGGCAGATCTGATTTGAAGGGCTGGGCAGCTGGGAGCCTGCTTCTCCAGTCGCTGTGACTGCTGTTGTGAGCTTCAGGGCCGGTTCCCTCTCCTTTTTATATGGCTGTCTGGGGATGGCTCCCGCCCTCCTCAGCTTCCTGCCGTGACTCAGGCCCAGCTGCTCCTCCTTCCAGACACTCCTTCCAAACTCACCCTGAAGCCTCCTGAGAGGATTGAGAAGAATGGAGGTGAACCTAACCCCAAGAGAAACTGATTCTGAGAGTCATGGAGCGAGAGGAGTCTGAGGCCTTATTTTAGGCCTCAGTGCCTGCATTTGCATGCCGCTTCTGTGGAGAACGGATCTGACACCCTGCTGGACTGGGACTGGGGAGACCGGGCGCTGGGGAGAGGGACAGGGCAGCTACCCCGGGAGCTCCCCTACCAGTGAGAAGCCTGGGTGTCCTCTTTCAATTCCTCCAACCCCCTAGGACAAAAGAGAGGGAGAGACTCAAATTCCTTTTCATGTCCCCATCAGGAGTCAGAGATGAAGACACACATCCAGTCGCTTCAAGTTTATTATTTTTAGTTTCACTCTCCTCACATCCAAACAGCGACCGCTCCCCTAGACCAAACCTCTTTTCTGGAGAGCAGATTCATGTCCACATGAGTTCTGAGGGGCCCGGGGGACTCCAGACTCTGTCAGTTAGGTTGGGCTCTCCGGCGTTAAGCAGGGCTGGTGGCTCCTGCAGGTCTGAGCCACATCTACATACGGAAGCTCAGAACATTTCTTCGGCATTTGGGGCCCTGCTGTTCTGCAGCTCCAGGAGCCGCTGCGCAGCCTCCGCCAGGTCCCGTTCCCCAAGTTGACGGTTATCTCGAGTCCGAATGTTCACTGTTCTCTTAGTCTGCTCTTTCTGGCCAACCACTGCAGGAAGAGGGGAGGTTTGGGAATCTCAGGGCAAATTTATCCAGAGGATATCTCCTTCTGCCATGCAGAAATGTCAGAGACCTAAACCTTGAGCAGGGGTGGGAGCTCGGACGTGGTTCCGGGAAAGGATATATTTAGCTGTCTCTTGCTCGAGTTAGTTCTCTGCTCATCCTGAGGAGATAATGGAATGTTCCGGACATTCTATAACGTGTCTTATCACTTCCACTCAGGAGCGCAGGAGTCAGAGATAGGAGGGTCAGCCAAAGAGAGACAAACAGATAAAGAAGCAGACACAAGAAACTGTGTGTGTACGTGTGTGGACGTTAGAGAAAGGGGAGGGCAGTGGAGTGGAGCACACACGTGCAGGTCCCCAGGATCACGGGGCGGCCTGCTCCCGGTGCCGGCTGTGCACAGCTAGAGTCAGGTAATCCGGCTGAGAGGTTTCTGCTCCCCGCCTTCAGGACAGAGCTTTGAACCTTGGAAAATGGAAAAGAGGAGCAAGGTAGGCCTAGACTTTTTTCCTTAAGGCCTTTCTCATCTCATAGGGCTGGGTTGACTCCATCTAGGTCTAGAATAAACAAAGCTAATTAATGCCTTATTAACTCTTCCTGTCCCTTTCTCTCTGATGCTCCCTCGGTTAATTAACCTAAGAGACACCAAGAGCTAGGGCGGAGGTCAGAAGAAAACTGTCCTGAGGGTCAGAGGTGGCGGTCAGGGGAAACCCAGGGCCCAGATGTCTCAGGCACTCTGAACCCTGGCTCCTGCCCAGCTCAGGTAATGAGCCCCAGTTAACCGAAATATGCAGACGACCCAACTCAATAGATAGGAAAGAAGAACACAGAGGCCGGGTGGAGGAGTGTAGGGCTCTGGGGGTCTGTGCTGCCAGGTCACTTACCAAACAGAAAATTGTAGTGGGCGAGCTGAGCCCGGCGGACTCTCCGGCCGAGGGTCAGCCCGGGGTCAGCATCCAGGTCGGCGGCCAGTCCCATGGCTCGCAGGCTCTGCTGGGCCTGGGGCAGAGGATCAGTGACAGCGACTTGATTTAATGGAGGGCTGAGGAGCTGGAACAGCCTGACGCTAATTTTCCTCACGCTCCCCCATTGGCTCCTTCTTCCTCTGCCTCAAGGCTCTCCAGTCCGCAGGGACGAACCCTCCTGACTCCCGGCCCCCGCAGCTTCCCTGTCTGCCTCCTGCTGGAGCTGCACCTCCGAAACAGCCCAACAGACAGCCACCTCTTGTCTTTCCACCTCTGACAATTATTCCTATTATGGCTCTTCAGTTTCCTGGTTCCTTAACTCCTCTGTTTTCTTCCCACTGCCAAGGCTTCCCTGGGCTCTGCCTGTTTCTAGGCTCCACTCTACCCAACCAGCTACTCGGTTCTGGTACCATTCATATCTTTCTCTCTAGAAAGGAAAAATAAAACCAACATTTTGTCAAAGCCTGCTTTAGTACCAAGGGCTCTGTTGTCAGCATTTAACATTTATTGTTTAATTTTCACACATCTCCACAAGGCAAGAATTAGCCCATTTTTTGGATGTGGAATTCCCAGCATACAGGCCAGCAGCCGTTCAAGCCCAGCCTTGTGACTCCAAGTGCTGTGCCCCTTTCTCCACCCAACGTGGCCTCTACCACCCACTGCTCGGCCCCACGCTCCCTATTAGTCCTGCTCCGGCCTCCGTCCTTGCCCCCAACTCCTCACCTCCCTGGCATATTCCTCTTGCTCAGCCCCCACAGGAATGACCACCACCTGGAACGGGGACAACCACAGCGGCCTGATTGAGAGAACAGAGGAGGGCAAGTTACTTACCCCGGCTCTGACCACACCTGTGGCCACAGGGAACACATCCTAGAAGGAAACAGAAATCTGGGGTCAGGGGTCTCACCATTTTCCCCCACAGCTTTCTGCCAGCACTCCCAACATCCTTTCCACAGAACCAAGCACTGCTCGATGAATGAGGACTGGACGCTCCAGGGCCCCCGCCTGCCTTGGAGGGAAAGAGGAAGGGGGATGGAATGGAGCAGTGTCACAAAACCTGTACCCAAGATCACTTTCCAGTTTCCAAGAACGGTTCAGCCCTGGCAAGGGAGGGTGGGAAGGGTTTCGTTTAGTTTTTAGGGTCACAGGTAGAAAGGGGAGTTGTTCTCCACTTATTCTATGAGCAGCCAAGGGAAAAGGGGACAGGGCGAGGTTCTGTACCCCCTGTACTGGAGGTCAAATCTCAGGGGCAGCTGGAAGTCAAGCTGGATTGTTCCACACTGATGGGGTCGACCCAGGGCGTCATGGAGGTGCACATCAATCTGGAGGAGACAGAAGGGAGGACATGAGAGGAACCAGCATCAGTACCCTCCATTATGCACGCCAGCCCTTCTACCCACCCACGTCCCAGGCTGTGCGGAGAGACGGGTCAGCCAGCTGCTTCATACTCAACTCTCTTGCTGGCAGCAGCTCTTTCCACTTAATACTGGTGTAACATTAGGGACACCGATACTTACATGAATGGCACATCCACGGCTTGGCCTCTCAATTCCTTGAGTTCCCCACCTCAGAGACCTTCGCCTGCACCCGCGCTATAGCTATATCCTTCATCCTGTCATCACCCAGAACAGCTGCACCTCCGAAACAGCCCAACAGACAGCCACCTCTTGTCTTTCCACCTCTGACAATTATTCCTATTATGGCTCTTCAGTTTCCTGGTTCCTTAACTCCTCTGTTTTCTTCCCACTGACAGACCTCTCGGCTTCTCCCACCTTTGCTTCTTTCCCCATGCAGCTGTAACCACTCTCCCTGGTTCCCCAGTGTTATTGATCTTCTGTCGCATCCACAGGACAAAACCCCTCCCTGCTGGCACCCTTGCCTCCCACCTCCTTGGTCCTGTAACAGAAATGCCCGGTGCCGCCAACATGTCACATCCCACACAGACGCAAAAACAGGAACAGACGCAGATCAACTCAAGAAACCCTTGCTCTGCTAGCAATCCTCTGGCGGCCCGAATCAGCTCCGCATCCTTTCCTCGAGGATTTAAGCTCTCTCCTCTCTTCCTACCTTCAGCCCCCTCACTGACCACAACCCTCTCCCTACTCCCATCTCAGCAAATGATCCTGTCTCCTATCTCATGATGAATTCTGGTATCATGAGACGAGAAAACGTCTCAGCTTCTAGCACCACACCTATAGTTTCCTTCCTGCTGCCCTCCCAACAACGGCGAAGGCGGTCCTCTCTGCGGAGAGCTCGCGGTCCTACCCTCACACCGCCCCAGAACTTCCTTCTGCTGAAAGCCCTTCCACAACCCCAACTTCTCCCTGACCCAGACGGGCTCCCTCTCATCACCGCACTTAAACATTCGCAAGTCTCTCTTTTCATCAACATCCCTGTTGATCTGTCAGCTACTCTCCTCTGCCTTCATAAGAGCCAAAGTTCTTGAAAGAGTTTGTTCATTCACTTCTGACTTCACCCTAGCCCCCAATTTACCAAAAAATGGTCGCTCAAAACCTTACAGCCTTTTCACTAAATCCAGCAGACACTTCTCAGTAGTCTCCCCATGACTTTTCACTGTTCCCACCTTGCCACGTGAGTTTTCATCCTTCACCACATTTTCTCCTACGATGTTCCCCCCGAAACACCTCTTTACTTGGCCAACAATACCTTTCAGATTGGAAAGCGATTCCTGCAGGAAGCCTTTCCTGACCCTCCTGATAACACACTCCTGTAGCGCCTACGCAGTGCGGATCCCATGCTGCTGAGCTGCCCTGCGTACCTCCCACAGCCCTCACCAGACCTAAGTTCCATGGGGCCAGGAAGTGTATTGCTCTTCTTTAAATCCTACATGAGTTTAAAAATATCCCTTCATATCTATTAAGTATTTAATAAAACAAACAAAAAAAATTCAAATAAGACTCTAACCAGGGTCCCCATTACCTTAGGCCCATAGAAGGCACCATCTCCAGGGTTAAGGTCCCAGGGTTCGCCAAATTCTTCCAGGGCCTGTTGAAGGACCTTCAGAGGAAAGGAGACAAGAGAAGAATATGTCACCTTTGACTTTATGAGCAACATATCCCGCTAGTCCCCCGTAAACGACCGTCTCAGCATCTGCTTCTACGGAGACCCTGATTCCCACCTGCCATCCCCCTCCATCGGCTGGTTTATCTGCCTCTGCTTCCCTACCACCTGCTCACCTGCTCAGCCTGGTCCCAAAGGCAAGGCTCTCCCAGGAAGCCAGATGGCCGGGTAGACAGTGCCAGGCGGAAGGAGAAGCCAAGGACAGCGTAGACAGAGCGGAGGAAATCAAGGCAGCTTCGGATCTCTGCTTCCAGCTTGAAGCAGGAAATAAGGGCAGGTGAGCTGCTAGCTAGAGCTCTGGGGTGATGGCAATTTTGTGAGAGAGGGCAAAAACATAGAGGGAAACTGGGGATAGAATATAGTTGAATTGCAGTATATAAAGAGGGCAACTGGGGGTCAGGAATGCTGGTGGTTCGCAAGGAGAATGAACGGTGGCTCAGAAATGCTTTGGTGGAGCTGGGGAAGGGCCACCTGAGCCGGGGCACAGAAGATGTGAGCGTCATCCTGCTGGAAGCGCCGCAGCCGGGTCAGTCCCCCTAGGCTGCCAGAGGCCTCGGCCCGGTGCAGGGCCCCGAAGTCTGCCAGTCGCAGGGGCAGCTCTCGCCAGGATCTGGGTCGGTGGGCGAACATCAAGCTGAAGTTGGAGTAGGGGGAGGTCAGGACCACAGTGAAAACGAGCCCCTGAAGACTGCTCTTCTACCCAGGCTGCCTGCTTCCCTTCCCCGCACCATCAGCTAACACCCTCTCTGGCCTCGGCATGCCTCTCACTGAGTCCTGTCAGCCCCACTCATCACAGTCTGGGCCCTGCCTGGTTCAGAAGTGAATTTCTCAGTAACAGTAATAACAGACATCATTCACTGTTGTCCCTCTGTGTGATAGGCACTGAAGTGAGAGAGGAACCTTAGGCAGCAACTCCAAGCCCCAGATGTTACACATAAGGAGACTGAGGCTTAGGGAGGTACAATGAGCCTCCCAAATTCATGTGTCAGCTGGAGCGCAGATTCGAGACTCAAATCAGGTGTCCCAATACTATCCCAAGGTGCCTTCTTAATATTACTTAATGTTCAGCAACCCAGCTGCCTAGCCCCAGCCCCGGGAGGACCAAGGCCTCAGGATCCCAGCTCACCAGTGCGCAGGGCAGTTCATGGGCTTGAGGGCGAGGGTGTCTGTGGGATGACTGGTGTGGTGGTCACTCTGGGAGCAGGTGGGCCTGTCGGAACCTGGGGTCTGCAGGGCAAACATGTCTTCCCGATAATGCTCCCAGTGCCCGGACTGTTCCCAGAGTTTTGTAGAAAACAGCGTAGGGGTTTTCACTTCTGAGAAACCACGGCGGGTGTACTCAGCCTGGAGAGGAAGGTACAGACACAGAAGGCCAGAGGAGGCAGAGTGGCAGCTGTGGGATTCTTCTGGGCCCTCAGGTTGTGCAGATCACAGCTACAACCCAGTCAGCGTCACGGTCCCTCCCTGTGTTCCTCTTCCGCAGAGCACACATTTCTAGTATCTTGAGAAACGTCACCAGCACTTTACAACATTTATGTTTATGCTTCTAATCCCCCTCTTTAACACCTGGCTTCTTCAAGGCTTTTAGTCCCTCCCCAGCCCTCCTTCCCCTGGTCTAGGGTTCTCCTTACCCTGATGAAAGCCACCAGTGCATTATACACCCTTGTCCCTCGAGGAAGGAAGAAGCAGCTCCCAGGACTCAGTTCATGGAAGAAAAAGAGCTCTTGTTCCTGGGGTCAGGAATGGCAATGGTCACTTAAAGGGGGATGTGAGGGCTTGGGAACCCAGGAGAGATAACTGACAAAGCAGCTCGCCTGGGGGATTCTGAATCTGCTCCCAATTTCACAACCAGGTTCCTTCGTCTCTCTCCAACCCTTATCATCACCCCCTGCCCCACTGCCCCTTTCCCCGTCTCGGTACCTTCCCAATGCGCCGGTGGTCCCGTAACTCTGCTTCCTCCCTCCATTCTTCCCAGGCCCTCAACTCCTCTGCTGTGGGGAAGGAAATCCCTGACACTCTCTGCAGTGTCTCTGGGGCACCTGAAAACCTCCATGAGGATGATGAGTTCTGTGGGAAGACACAGAGTCCAAGGGAAGAAGGGGAGGACTGAAGCCACCCAATCTCTTTCAGTCCTCATATGATACTCTCGCTGTAAGCAGCACAAGTGTGCCACCGGACAGCAGTCCCATCTCATCTCTCTCTACCTCCCCCACCATCACCACCAGCAGGATGGCCACCACTATCTTTCAGACACCGCTTGTCATGTTTACAGCTTTGGAGGTGCCTGAGCCTTGATTTCCACGTATGTCCTGCCCAATTCTAACCTTACCCTGCCACATCTTTTTCTCCCCATTCTCACCACCACTGCCCTCCAAGCATACCTGTACTTCATCCCTTCCCGTTCTAATCACTGACTGCTCAGAAGTAACCCTAAGCTCTGGTCAAATATCAGTCTATCTGTCCCCTCATCAATTTCCCAGATGGCTGCGAGGACACTCAGCATCCCACACTGGGTCCTATTCCTGGCTACCTGACATGCAAATGTCTCTACCTGCTCTTTATTTAAACAACAGTACTAATAAGAAACAGCCTGCATTTTACAGCACTTGTAACTTTTCCCCAAACACTTCCTCTCGTGTTAGTTGGTGTGTATGATGCGGATCTGCTCGTAGGACAGGAATATCAGCCTCATTTGATTGATGGGGAAATGGATAAGGAGATTTACCCAAGGTCACACACTTCATCAGTGGCAGAGACAGGACTAGCACAGTGCTTTTTGATCTACGTATCTGCCTCTCTCCCTGCTCCCTGCTCCCATTCCAACTAATAACTCACCTTGCCCAGGAGCAGTATTTGCATAAAGGGCCTGCCCTTGACTTAGAGTACCCTCTCTGTGCCTGTCAAACTGTGTTCCACACCCGCTCTCTCCACAGGAGCCTTCCCTACGTGACCTTGTCCAGCCTGTTCATGCCCTTCCTCTCCATCTCCCTTAGTACTGATGTCTGACTGTGGGGTTGGAACTGGCTTCTGGGCCCTGGAGGGTGTCCAGTAACTGTCATCAGACTGGGAGTTTCTAGAAGCGAGGGACTAAGCATCTTTCTTCTTCTGGACCCCCTCTTAGCTGTCAGAGAAGGGCCGATAGAGGGACCTCTTCCCATTCCTCAGCTCATGCCAGTGAAAACAAGAATCTCAGCCTAACCTGGCCCTCACAACTGACCGTTAGCAGCTTCAGGCCTCCAATCTGTCCGGTATGCCGAAGGTGCGGGCCCCGGCAAAGATCAACCAACAGGCCACACCTGGGAGGAAGAAGGGACCAGTTAGTGATTTCCAAATTCTTTTTTTAATTTAATTTTATTTTTAATGGAGGCACTGGGGATTGAACCCAGGACCTCGTGCATGCTAAGCATGCGCTCTACCACTGAGCTTTACCCTCCCCCCAATTTCCAAATTCTTCAGCTTCTAGCTTCCTCCCTCTCAGGGCCTTCAGCTGACAGAAAGAGGAAGTGAAGATCTTTTCCACAGAGAAAGCAAAGGGAGATAAAACTCAGTTCCCATTTCTTTTTGGGGACTACCTTCTATCTTCTCTCCCTTATTCCTTTCTGGCCTTCTCCAGTGCATCCCCATCTCTTCCTGTTTCCCTCACTCTTGACAACCCTCACCCGTATACTGTTGCCGTTGGACCTGTCACTTTCTCCTCGATCAGGCGAAGCTTAAAGGGGTTATCCTGGAAGAAGGGAAGAATGCAGACAAGTCTTTATTCCCAGAGGACATCCTGGGAGAGAGCCAGCCCCTTCCCTCATGCCTCTAGATCATCCTTCTAACCCTGTGTGCCTCCACCCCACCTTGAAGAGCTGGCGCAGCTGGTCCTGGGAAGCCTCTAGTCTCCGGAAGGGCTGCGCAGCAGCGGCAAGCTCCCTGCAAACCCGCTCCAGAGCAGGCAGCTCCGAGCCCCGGACTGTCCTGGAATGATGAGAGCTGGCTGGTTTCCATCCCCTAAGGAGCATCACCTGGGTGACACATCTGTTGGCCACGGGGGTGAAATCCAGAAATAACTAGAACTGTTGGCAAAGACAGACAAACTAGGGGGAAACACAAATAGCAAATCAGGTACAGCATTGAGAGCTGGAATGGAGAATTATATTCAATATCTTGTAATAACCTATAATGGAAAAGAATCTGAAAAAGATATATCTAAATCTCTCTGCTGTATACCTGAAAGTAACACAATATTGTAATTCAAGTGTCGTTCAATTTTTAAAAAGTTTAAAATAATAAAAAAATTTACAGTTAGAGCAAAAGGTCTATGTACGAAATTAAATGTTGAATGCAGACAAGCTAAATAAACAAAACTAGAGCAATAGTAAAGTAAAAGCTGAAGAATTCATAAAGGCTAGAGAAGGTAAGTTTTAAGCAGAATTAGAAAATGAAGGACATGGACTAGTGGAGAAGGTGGTGCCAGGTCACAGCTGAGGCAGGAAGGGACCCTCTTCCCAACTTTCTTTCTCCTCCAAATTGAACATGCCCAAGGCCCCAGAAACCACCCCAGTAAATGGGTACAAACTTTAAGTTATAAGATGAACAAGGCCTGAGGAATTAATGTATAGCATGGTGGCTACAGTTGATAAATTCTGTATTGCATAATTGAAATTTTCTAAAAGTAGATCTTAGGCATTCTCATACACACAAAAAAGCATGTGATAATTAATTTGATCACGGCAATCCTTTCACAATGTATAAGTATGTCAAATCACCACGTGTACACTTTAAATATATAATTTTATATGTCAATTACACCAAAAAAAAAAAACCCCTGAAAAATGAAATAAAATACGGTGCAATCTCTAAAAAAGAAACCACCCCAGAACCATTCCCTTCCTTCTCTGCATTGCTCACCGTTCCTTCCCCAGGAAGAAATCATGGTAGAAGCCACATTCTGTGCTCGGACCTTGGCAGAGGACAGCACCTAGGAGTTGTTCAGCTGCTGCCCCCAGGACATGGGTGCTGGAGTGCCAGAACACCTAGGTTCACAAGAAAGGAGTTCATGAGCTTGTAACCTTCTCCTTTAGCCCCTAGCTTTCTGATCCTCTCCTCGGAGAAGCTGGTGTGAAAACCAGCAGGGTCTCCTAGGAATAACTACCACAGAATGGGGAACCTGACCTGTGGGGTGACTGCTAAACAGTAAAAGCAAAAACAAACAAAAAACCCCACAAAAACTGAATATAAAAGAAGGAAGAAGGCCAGCAGAAATAGTGCAGAGAAGAGAGTGAGCCCACTCCTCAGTGCTTCTCGGTCCTGGAGTACAGAAGTAGGAGGCCAGTCAGTTTTCATGCCACCCAAGCTGACAAGAAGAAAAGTGGAGAGCAGGCCAGGTTGTGTGCTCAGTTGTGGGAGCCACATTACAATTAAATATACCACACAGATGACTTATAATGTGTGTCTCAAGAGCTAGGGTTGGGGGGACAAACTGGCGTATTATCCTTTTATTTTCAACTTAGTATCTCTCCCTTTCACTAGCACAAGTGATCACTGCTTAACAGACCTAGGCTGAGGAAAACTTTTCATTCTACGTTCTTCCAGCTTAGGCAGGAACAAAGACAAGCAATCTGTGGCCTCCCATGCAACTGCAAACAGAGAAACTAGAGCAAAAGAAATAAATGCTAGAAACACCCACTTAAACACCTCTTAGTTTAGTAGCCACTGTACCCCCAATAAGGAAGAAACTTACTGCTTTCCCCTCTGGGGAATCGAATGTCAGAAATCTGAGATCAGAATCTGTCTCCAATGGCCGCTCCAGATCGTAAGGTTCTCCATTCACTTGAGCAGCCACTGCAGTATCTGCCAGTTTTGAACTTCAGCAGTGACAGATGCAGATAAAGAAAAAGACAAGGTTACAATCACAAAGGATGAGAGGGACTAATCTCTTAGCAACTCCAAACTGGCAAAGGAAATGTGTTACCAGAGCAATAGAATCCATTGTTTCCCCCCATGCATAGCAGAGGAAGGGCAGAAACTATGAAAGTAATGCATGTAAAAAGGGATCCTCAAGAAAGGCTATCTTAATGGGGATGGAATAAACAAGCAGAATTATTTCCCTGTTCAGGTGGAGAAAGTTTGGAGGTAGAAAGATTATCCTAGTAGGCATAGGATGAGCCTGGTACCTGATCTGCTGGGCTAGTTGGTAAGGGGTTGTCTTCCATGCCACAGCGTCCACTTTCTGACCTCCAGGAAGTGATATCTTGATAGCCCGGTGTTCCTTCTGTGCCATGCTTGCTAACCTCTTTACCTGGGCAGTCCATAGCTCCTCAAAAAGGCCACGCCGCTCTACCAACCAGTTTGGAGGGGTCGGCACAGCTGCCTGGAGAGAAAGATGTTAGGAGGTAACACAAGTCCCATCATTCCTTCTCGGGATTCTAGATAGTGGGAAATGAGGTCATTTAAATGGCCGTGGTCCTAATTCCTAGTCTTTAAAAGGACTAGGTGATACAGGGCCCTAGGCTGGGAGCCCTACGCTCCCCCGGCTGCTGACCCTAGTAAAAAGATGGGGCATCTACAGGCTAGGGTCGCCGGGTCCAATGACGCAGGGCGGGAGTAGAGGGTGTCAGGCTGGGTTGAGAGCCTACACTTTGCGCTTCCGCTGGGCTGGGTTCGATAGGGTTCGGAACTTTTGGGTACCTCACGCACCGTGTGCAGCCCGCAGGCTTGAAACCCTGGGAGCCGGAGCAGCCGCCACCTCTGACACAGCCCCATGTTCCTTCCGACCCCAGCTATATCCTCAAATAAACGATCGCTGCTTCTCCCTCACCAGATTCCTCATTGGCTCCTGGCCCAACAATATCCATGCTTATTGGTTATTACAGCTGCCACTCCATTCTAGGACCACCTCCGGGAACTGCGAGGAGGTACACCCCACACAGCACGAGCAGCGGTGTGGGTGGTTCCGGCGGACCGGAAGACCTAAACTGTTACACAAACTGGCAATTCCCGAGATCTGCAGAGTTTCAGCCTAAAGTGGCAATAAGATACCCTGCGGCTTTGAGGAAGGGGCAAGAAAAGTCTCCAGAGAAAGAGTGGGAGAAAAACGGACGAGTAGTCATTGCCTTTCAACCATTAAGTTTTCTTTCACATAGTTTTCACTGGCAGGTAGGAAACACGTAAGACTTTGGAACGAGACAGACCTAGTGTCCTGGATCACTATGTAAAATTTTTGGTAAATTTCTTAACTTTTTCTAAGCTTCAATTTTCTCACCTATAAAATGGGAATAATAATAGTATAATTATGAATTGTTGAGGTTAATTTTATGTAAATTATCTAATATACTGCGCAGTACACGGTAATAGGCAACAATAGCGACAAGCTATGAGAATAAACGAATATATAACAACTTTGAGGCTGGAGCAAAGAATCTGAAGAGGGTGCATCTTGGAGTCCTTTCATACTCATGGTGCTTAAAGAGGGCTCTTAGAGACCTCTTAATCTTACAAATGAGGAATTTAAGGGAAGAGAAGGTAAATGATTTAAGATCAAACAGTAAGCGCTGATGCTGGTTTCTGAATGCAAGTCTTGTATTCTTATACCACACTAGATTTTGTCTGGTAATAGAGTTTACTCCCAATATAATTTGCCCATCACTTCAGAAAGAAGTGCCTGACCCTAGAATATTAGCTCTCTGTTTCCTACACAAGACCTTTGCCTCTCATTCCCATCCTAGCTCTCAACTTCCTTTATCCCTTCTCTTCCCTGTTATATCCAGAACACAGGACTAGATACAATTTGTTTTACACAGTAAAAATTTAAACATGGCCAGGTTTGTAGTAAAAAATGAGAAATGAACTTGAGGGCAGCTGTGAGGTCTTCAGTAAAGCCCATTAGTTCCTTCACCTGGGGGTGGGGATGGTTGGAGTTTGTTCTCAAGTTTCCAGTGGTGATGAAATCAAAGATTGTGGAGGAAGAGCTGTCAGAGAAAGATGTTTAATCTAGGTTTCCAGAGGCCAGAGGTTCTGTCTGGGAGAGGGAGCAGTTGATCTGTGTCATAGGCACCACCACTTTGGATCTTGGCTCCATCTTCTGATATGTTAGACACCCTGAAATACAAAAAGAAACAAGACTGTGGAAGAGGAAGATTACTTGTGACTGAGTGTGTGTGTGTGTGTGTGTGTGTTTGTGGTTGGTAGAAGGTACTGAGAATTTTAAAATGGCATTCAGAAAAAGTGTGACAACAGGTAGAACTTTTCCCATGGCTCTGACCAAAAGGAACAGGGGAATATTACATTGCAGGCAACAGAATGGTAGGCACTCAATAAATATTGAGTTAAGAACGTACCAATTGCTGTATTGACTTGAAACTCCATAGGATACATATACTGACACATACCTTCTTTAATCATTCTACTTTGTAAGGATAGCAGAGGGATGATGGAATAAGTAAATTACACTGTTATGGTAGCTCCCCACACTCATCCCTCAAACACTTACTGACTGCTTACTGTGTGCAATGCACTGAGCTGGGTGCTCAGGGGATGCCAATCAATCAATCAACTACTACATCGTTGCCTGTGTAACCTGTGTTGCAGTGGAGGGAGGAAGACAGGAATGTCAAGAGTTAGTCCGTTCCTCCCTGTGTAGCAAGCAAGCCAGCCAGCAAGCAGGCAAGAGCAAGCTAGCTGAGGCCAACTCATTAACTGCTAGTTCTTCTACAGCTTCTGATTTGTGACCAGCATGTCTTAGCCTCGGAATTTTAACCCCTTAGCCTTCCTGGGAAATATCTATTCCTGAAACTGCTCTTATTTCCACCAGAATATCACAGAACAACTATGTGCCAAGCACCATGCCTTCACTATCTCATTTATCTCCTAGAAGCCCAACAAGTAGTAGGTCTTCTTATACTCCCTTTAAAACATTAAAAATGACACTCAGAGCAGTCAAGCCCCAGTCCATCTGAATCCAAGGCCTGTTTATGCCATGCTATTCTGCCTCTCTGGGACCAGGGTAATCATGATGCATCACATTTAGTACATCTGCCTTTTTCTTTCCAGGGTACACTTCTTGGAACTTTGGGGCCTATGAGGCCTTAATATGGGGTAGAGAGAAGGGTCAAAAAATAAGTCAAGAAAAGAGGCATCTTACCAAATTTTCTCTACCAGACTAGGGTTAAGGAAAAAGAAGAATTTAGGAAGTAATGCCAGATTTCACAGACGTTTAGGGAAAGGGAATCCTCAGTAAAGGGCATCCTCGACCCTGTCAATTCTGGGAACTCCTCAGCCTGACTCCACTCTCAGAATAGACATCCTGTTAGCTAAACCTTTGGTTGAGGAGGTATTATTTTTATAATCATAAACTGTGTGTAAGAATTCTCTCACTGAAGGTGAAGTACGTTTCTCACTTGTCATCAGGATCAGTATATGACTCCAAATCTTAGTTTGTAGAAGCAAAATTTTCTTGCACCAAAGAGGTAGAAAAGATACTGGAAGTAAAAAAGAGAAATGTAAGAAGGTAAAGAAGGTTTGTACCATTGCCACCAAATGCTTTCGAGGCCTAAAGATCTAGCCAAGTGGCTAACGCTACAGTAGTAGGTGGTGTGGGGAGGTAATTCCACCCCCGGCCCTGTACTAATGAAGATCGAGGATAGGGTCTAGCTTTTACTTTAACTTTGCTCTAAAGACGCCATAAAGGGAGAGAAAGTCCAGCCAAATTTGCTGAGTAAATCAAGGAGGGGAAGCATCCTACCAGGGGGATGGGGACACTGTGAACTTTGCTTTGAAAACAAAGCCTTAGGCTCCCCTAAAATCTCTACTAAGATTTCCCTTTCCCAAGGCGTCTGAGTCTGTAGAAGAGAAACAAGGAAACAGCCACCTCCACCTCTGCCTTTTAAATGACCCTGGTTTGTCAGGTGAAGACCAAAGGAAAAATATGAAGTCTCCCAAACACAGGAGTCAGTGCAGGTACGCGGTAACTGGTTTGATGCTGAAGTAAAAACAGCCAAAAAACAAACAAGCAAACAAAAACAAAGAAAGAGCAAGGTTCTCTGAAAGAAGGTCCTAGATACATCTAGAGAAATATACAACCGTGGTCCACTACCCAATAACCAAGATTTCAAATTAATACTTTACTAATCCCTGTTGGTCTCAACAATGATTGGCTACTTAGAAAATATGGGACCTTAAGTATTGTCTCACGTAGGTGCAAGGGATTCCTAGCCAGGGATGGGAAAACAAGGAACTCGATGCTGCCCACCTCCTTTCTACCCATTCCGACTGAAATACCCCAAGAAAAACGGAGGAAATTTCAAGTCGTCCTGTCTCCTCCTTTCCACAAATTATGCAGCAAAGAACTTAATTCTCAAAAAGGGGGTACAATGGGAAGGGAAAGGAAGTAATGTTGTTGGAACATCTAACTTGCTAGGAACCCCAACAGATCTGGGGTGTAATGGTTTAAGCCAACACCCTTTTGAGTCAAACACAAAAAACCTAGTCTATATTTGTTCTCTGTTGGTGCTGCTCACTAGCCCCTCCACCTGTATCTGGGTTTTCAACTTATGACACGTTATAGTGAGAACAAGGAGAAAGGATAGGAAAAAAATTGAAATAATGGAACCATAACTGTAACATCACGAAATGTAATTCTAAATAGATCTCAGCCTTCTTATCCCGTTCCCCTCAAAGTTGTAACTAAGCATTAAAGGCTTCTCCTGTCCTTCCCCGGCAGCTAGTCAGAAATGATTCGATATATAACTTTACACTGCTCTTGGTCCTTTAAAACACATGTGCTTTTCTTTATCCCTACATGGGGGAAGGGAGAACAGGATGTTTACCTAAGGGCCGATATCTCACTGACAGGTGTCCCTCTTGCGGCTTTGTCTCTGTAGCCTCAATGAGTTATTACTCAGCAGTCGTGCAGGGCAGCTGACCAGACATGTCCAGTTACTCATAAACAAGTATGAGAAACACCTCAGTACCCCAAAACCCATTCTGTGTCACCGTCTACATACATGAGCTGGTAACTCATCCCTCGCATTCCAGATTGGCTTAAAGAAAACAATTTCAGTGAAGTTAATATATTTTCAACATGTCCACAAAGGCCAATGAGGAATTCTAAGAGCTGTTGCTTCCCTGGGGTGAAGACAGGAATCAGGAGGGCAAGTCAAGGTCCCAAGAGGGGGCCCGGAAGAGGGCGAGCCGGATTCCAGGAGCAGCCCGCACAGAGTTACACCCTACCTGCTGGGTGTGCTCCTCACCCGCTGCTATTTCCAAAGTGTCTGGTGACACGAGTTTCACATATTCAAGGCTGCTGTCTGGGGCCTTCTACCCTGCCAGTGACCCAGGCTGGGTCTCGATGCAGTGACTCTTCATCCCTTCACCCAACATTCCATTTATTAGGCCTCACTGGGTTATGAAAAAAGGGATGGTGCAAAGTTTGTGTGGCTTCTGTATGACAGACTGCCAATAGGCAAGAAGGGCAGACGTGTGCAAAAAACTGGCCAGGATCCCTACCAACACCACCCCAATCTATGCTTGCTTTTAAAATGCTCACAACTGTACAACTTTTGAAGACATACACAAATCATCATGCATACGGTCTACCCACTTCATTATCAACCACTCCCTGAACATCCTGATCTCACCCCACTCATCATCCCTTTCCAAAAGTGAATTACATCAAGGATCAAACAGAAAACCCACAAGGTCATGAAGATCTCAGAGGCTCAGACTGTCTTCAGTGACACTGAGTGCAGAAGTCAAAGGGGACAGCTGGACAAGATCAGTGTGAGAGGGGAAAAGTCAACCACACAACAAA